CAGGAACGTGCAACGGCCGACGACTCATCGCAGGCGTAACGGACGACACGATTCGGGCATAACAGTATGTTTGCGTTGCTTGTATTTTATGCACTCAGCATCTCCGCGCTTTCTCTCTTTTCAACGCTAAATATATACATATATCATTTTAAGTGCAAAAATATTTGGGGATTTCATGCAACGCAGACCTTATTTTATGCTAATGGCCGCAGCACACACTCTTGCATAACGCATAATACATAGTGTTTAATGGAATCAACCAATCGAAATTCTTCTTTTTCATGGAATGAGAGGAAAGGAAAGCTTCTGATTAGTTGATACGCTTATGCACTATGCGTTATGCGTTATGCAAAAGCTTGTGTCTGGGCTCTAAAGCGGGGAGCACAGACTCTTGCATAACGCATAACACGTAATGCATAAGAATAAGTACCAATCGAAGTTCTCCGTTTCTTTCCCTTCCATGTAATAGAGAACTCTGGTTAGTTCAATTTTTTATGCCTCATGTGATATGCGTTATGCAAGAGTCTGTGCTCCCCGCTTAAGACGGAGAGCACATACTCATGCATAACGCATAATGCATAGTGCATAAGGGAATCATCCAATTAAAATTCTTCTTTTCCGTGAAATGGGAGGAAAGGAAATATTTTGATTGATTGATTCGCTTATGCACTATGTATTATGCGTTATGCAAAAGTCTATCCACACTCGAACACAGTTTGCCACACTTAAATGGAACGCGATATGTGCAGTGTGTGTATCGTGTGTACGAACCTTAGAACATATACACATGGAATGATAATAGGACGCTCAGGCTGAAGCCAAGATAGGTGTGAGAGAGAAAGGTATAGAAGACCTAAAATTCGCAATGCGCATGCTCAATTTCGTCAGGTGATTCCATCTATTACGTTGTTCCATTCGTTCCAATGGATTGACGAACGGAATGACGAAACTGAACATGCGCATTGCGAATTTTAGGTCTTCTGTACCTTTCTCTCTCGCACCTATCTTGGCTTCAGCCCAATGCATTGGCGGTATAGGCAATGAGTGTTCCATGTGTATATGTTCTAAGGTACGAACATTTAACACCTAACCTTAAAAGATTTGAATTTTGACCTTAACGGACACATGAGATCCGATTATTGCAAGGAGTGATATGTATATTTTCGAGTAAAAGTACATACTTTGTATCAATTGGTGGAGGTATTCCAAAAAAAGATTTAACATCTTACAAGTTACAAACTTTT